ATTACATGTCGGGAATCGAAAGGCTTTACTTTAATTTTTCCTCATATATTATAGCGATGGCGTCATTACTTCCGCAATTGCGTTATCGCCTGTTTCCAAAAATAGGCCTAAAGACCGTTGCGTGCAAATAGGTTCTTTTCCCGTGTTTGACAGAAGTCGGTCATTTTATGTGTCAAGGAGCATCTGTCAGCCTGTCTATCGATCTATCAATCAATCTATCTATCTAGGTGTTTCGTGGCATAGAGGTTAAGGTGTTCGCCTCTCATTCAAAGGTCCCGGGTTCGGATCCGGGCAGCGACGGAAACATTTTCTTCTCTAAAGTTGTCTCCTTTCACCTCCGTTCCTAATTTCTCTCTTACAATGTTCTGTCGTCTGCTTTCGTCTCCACTTTCTACTCCCACCCCCTCGCCTGCTTTGCCCCCTCCGCTGGGCTCCTGACGCCTTCTGCAGCCTTTCTACTGCTTCTCATTGGTTCCTTCTTACTGCTGTCTCTCAGCCACACCCCTGATCTTCTGGTAGTAAAGATCTACACCTAGCCTTCTAGGATAGGACAAGAGGGAAAAATCTCGGAAGTGCTTTGTGCAAGTTGCGCACTTTATAGGTCCCTTGGTGGTCTAAAATCGATAAGAGTAGACTTCTGCCGCTACCGGGGAAAATTCCAAATTTCTTACCCACTGAAAATATTTGCTGTGTCCCGCGCAGTCATATAACCTTATGCAGTTGCGAGCGCCGTAAGACACTTACCAGAACAAAGTACCAAAACATCTGTCTATCTATCTATCTATCAATCTATCTATCTATCTATCTATCTATCTATCTATCTATCTATCTATCTATCTATCTATCTATCTATCTATCTATCTATCTAACTATCTACATATGTCACATTGTGAAACGAAGCAGTGTGGTGTTTTGCAATTATAGAAAAAAGAAACAAACCTTAAACAAAACAGAAGCACAAGAAAACTGTAAAAGTCAATCTGAGCCCTCCCTTCTACAAATGGGTTAAAAGCGTCTGTCGTGCATGACGTCACGGCAACCAACTTAAGGGTGGAGACCCCCCCCCCCCCACCCCCCGGGAGTACGTAGTATTTCAAGTAAATTTCAAATGTTGACTTATCCCACAACGCTAGACAAGAATAAGAAAAACAAAACAAACAAAATATAAAAGAAGATAAAGCAAAATACATAACAGTACACCGAAAAAAACATAGAAAACCGAAAACAGAAACAAAACAATGCAAAACAAAAAAATAAACCAAACAAAAAACAATTTTTAGATGAAATAAGATAACCACAAAAACCAGAAAGCGTGAGATGTCGCTGAGCTCAAACCAGCGTCTGTGGTGTAGCTGGTACTCACTTCACTGTCACACACAGAAGATTTGATTTTTATTATTGTGTGGGAAGAATTTTTATTTCGTATCTTGGTCATTCTCCTGAGACATTGTGTCTCTCTTGGCCCGGGTTGGTCGTGACAGATATGATCCAAGTTCACCCCTTTAGTGATTACATTTGTATCGAATAGAACATAAAAACATCCACATATTTTTTTATTTGTTCTTTTGTTGTTTTGTTCTTTTCCTTTTTTTACTTGAAAGTTCAAACAGCAGCTAAAATAAAAGAGTTCTTTTGTCAGGACCTGTTAAAATGGTTTTTCTTTTAGATGGTTAAAGGTGTGTTACCGTAAAGGTGGGTACAAAGTTATTACGGCACCTCTGTCGATCGATGGCTCGGACGACTGCGGCCAGAACTGGACCATGCAACAACAGAAATCTGTAGAGAGGATTTCAAATTCCTTTGTTCTTATGATAACCGTGTCAGCCACCTCCCTTCTGAATGAAAGAAAACTGTTTTATACAAATAAATAACGATTATTTAGAAGACGGACTGCTGTGACTTAGCCACAAAAAAAAGAATGGAAAATACTTATTAAAAAAGCCAACACCGTATGAGCGCCTGTCCGTAAAAAGATGGAGATACTCGATAATTTAATTTAGACGACCTCACGCAAAGAACGAACTCATCTCTGTGTGCAACTGAAAAGGACACTACCATTACGTAACAGACACCATTATCTAGTTGACTAACTTAGCGTGACATTGTCTTCTCCTTCTTCTTCTTCTTCTCCTCCTTTTTTATCAATTGATGGCTTTGAAACAGACATCCTCAATCATTGCTGGCAACTCATTTCTCAATAGTTCAAGTGCTCTAAAATCAGATAGTTTTATCCTGTTCTTTTCCTGTTACCCATAACATGTTCAAGTTTGCTGAGTAAGTTTACTTCAGTTTTCTTTTTTTTTTCACCGAAAGCACGATATTCAATACTTTAACGTTAATTTTATTACTGAAACTGCTTCATTCTATTGCTGTCGTTGCTATCAATGACCATCACACGCGGGCTTTTATTCTGATAGTTTTTTACTTTTTTATTTTAAAGATTCCAATCTTAGCTGTATTGAAAAGCAAAATCTAATAACGTTACAATAAAAGGATTAGTAGTGTGTGTGTGTGTGTGTGTGTGTGTGTGTGTGTGTGTTGTGTGTGTGCTTGTATGTGTGTGTGTGTGGATGTGTGTGTGTGTGTGTGTGTGTGTGTGTGTGTGTGTGTGTGTGTGTGTGTGTGTGTGTGTTTTGAGTATTTATCTCCAATGCAGTTGCGTATCTAGGAATGCGTATGTTTATGTTTATGATTATGTGCTTTGTCTATTATTATGTTTATGTGTCCATGAATTTGTAAGTGTGTCTGTATGAGAAAGAGAAAATGAGAGAGGGGAGAAAAGAGAGAGGGACAAAGAGAAAGAGAAAGAGAAAGAGAGAGAGATATATAGATAGAGAGAGAGAGAGAGAGAGAGAGAGAGAGAGAGAGAGAGAGAGGCAGTACTTTTAAGAGCACAGAGGCCAACAAAATGCAGTGAGGCATAATTTAGAGCAAAGATCGAATTTCTGGGCGCCAGTTCTCTTTTCCCTGTCCGATCAAGGCAAATAGGTCACTGACCGAAAACATGTACTTAAAGGCCTCTTCACATGCAATTGGTCGACAGTTCCCTTTCATTTTGCTTCCAATGGAAAGCTGTTATCAGATGAAGCTGCACTTTTGCCGCATCATTGTGCTCCAAAGTCAATGCGTCCTGACAACGTTCATGTGCAGGGATCTTCAGTTCGTGTTATTCCTAAGATTAAGGTTAAAGATACATTTAGCTAAGAGCTGTATTTGAAACAGAACATAGGATTTCACACTCAACCCCCTGCCTACAGGAGAGCTGCAAAAGAGTGGAAAAAAATACAACTTGAAAATGGCTTAAAGAGAGTATGTTCTCGAATTACACTTTTAACTCTCAATTATTGTTGTTTAGACAAGGGGGTTATCAATAAATAAAGCTCACTGTGTATATCCAGTCCTAGTGTCGCTTAAAACATATTGAAAAGCAAAAAAACAAAACAACCCCCCCCCCCCATTTCACCATTGTTCACGATTTAAGTGTTAATGTTTCTTTAAAAGTTTAATACAGGTAGGCTTTTTTAAAGTTAATAACAGTTATTAAAATTACTTTGAGCGAATCATACAAGATATCAGAATTATCAAATTATCAAAATTATGAACATTCCAAGCGGCAGTCACAGTGATGACGTGTTTCCTAAGGGAACAGCAAGCCCACCTAGCCTACTTTTGCTTAGTGGCGCAATCCACACACCTCTATAATATCGTTGGCGCAGTAGTACTTTCTTGTCCTTGCACTATCGCTACCTTAACATTACAAAGTTCTATCTGATGTCAGAGTCGAAGTGAAGATATTCAAAAGATGGCATTCGAAAAAGCTTGACATGTGAAACTCAAAATTTGTGATGTCAATTTAAATGGATCAGAACTAGATCTAAGTACTGGACAGATAGAACTGTGCAATTCTAAGGTAGCGTTATGTCTTTAGTTCTGAGTTTTTCATGCCTTTTTTATTACCTAGAGTTTAGTCTAGCAAGATAAAGAGAGAGAGAAGGGCAGAGAGAGACAGACAGAGAGAGAGAGAGAGAGAGAAGGGGAGAGAGAGAGACAGACAGACACAGAGAGAGAGACAGACAGACAGAGACAGAGAGAGAGAGAGAGAGAGAGAGAGAGAGAGAGAGAAAGAGAGAGAGAAGGGGAGAGAGAGAGAAAGAGAGAGAGAGAGAGAGAGAAAGAGAGAGAGAAGGTGAGAGAGAGACAGACAGACAGAGAGAGAGAGACAGAGAGAGAGAGAGAGACAGAGAGAGAGAGAGAGAGAGAGAGAGAGAGAGAGAGAGAGAGAGAGAGGGGGGGGGGTAATACATGTTGTCAATTATGTGCCTAATCTGGGAAATCTTTTTTCAAATATGCCCTCATCTGTGTGTGGTTCTTTGTATCACTTTCATTATCCTGTCAAACGATACAGCCTTCACCTCTGTTTATTCACGCCCAAAAATTGCTTCTTGCTCATTTTGAATGCACACACTGGGTAGGCCTCAGGCGATACATAGACTTGCTTCTCGATGGCTCACATGGCGTGTTTACAGAGACAAGGATTATATTAGAAAGTAAAGGAGGTGGTTTTCTTTTTTTTTTTTTATAGCAGACATCCTGAGCTTCAATCTGGTATAACCTTTGTGGTCATGGCATGAGCCATTGAAATTAACTATGATCGAGGTGGCAAACCTTTCCAGTAAGCCCAAGTATTGCCAAAATACAAAGACGTAATATTAACCCGCTCTTGTAGTGTAGCGGGCAGCATCGTCGACGTCATTTTCAGAAAGCACGACTTCGATTCCCAAGAGGAGAGGTGTTATTTTATTTTTCAATCGAGTGTCTCCACCAATCTGCTTGATTGTTGTATGTGTCCCTCTCTGCCCGGGTTGGCTATAACAGATAGGGCCGAATCAGCCGACCCTTAAATCATCTATAATGGGGATACAGATAATTCACAAATACATTTTAATAACCTATACAAACGAGCCTCGAACAATGGCAGAATCGACTCTCCATTAGAACTAGCACTCGAGTCAACTGCGGTAGTCGTGTGAGTGATCAATGCACGGCACCGCTGGGCGTGTGAGGGCGACCTGTGTATATATAAAGCGTCTGTCTGTCCTCTCTCTTGTTGTGTGGGGTGTCCGAGGCGTGAGTGAGTGTGTGCGTCGTCGTCTCCTGCTCACGTTTCTGGTTGTGACGTCATCACGGGTGTCGCATATTATACCCTCTTTATGGGGAGGCTTACGAAGCTGCGTGCCTCGGATCCGAAGATGAAGTTGGATTTTTTGTTGTGAGGGGAAAAAATGTTCGTTGCAGAGTGAATTTCAACTTGGAGTCGATCGGTAGGTTCAGAAATTGTTTCCACAGCACTAAATCGGATGATCCTCCTGGCTGTTTTAGTTGGCTGCTTTTTGTAACATGATCTTCCCACCCTTCTGTTCCTCTTTATCCACCTCCTCCTCTTTCTTCTGTTATTATTTTCAGTGTTGGTCTGACTGCTGTTGTTGTTGTTGTTGCTATTGTTGTTGTTATTTTTGTTGTTGTTTTTGTTGCTCTTGTTGTTGTTGTTGTTGTTGTTATTGTTGTTGTTGTTGTTCTTTTTCTTCTTCTTCTTCTTCTTCTTCTTCTTCTTCTTCTTCTTCTTCTTCTTCTT